TACAGGTGGTTTTATAACTCAAAAATATTTAGAAAAAACAGGCATTCTAACAGTGAGCAGGTCTGCATCTCCACAGATCTGACATGTAACTTGGTCTGCTTTGGTCTTCATGATGATAGAAAAGTTTAATACCATACACTGAAATATTCCAGACAAAGCAAAAACATCTCTCATGAAGAAAAGCATTTGACAGGTCCTCCACCATGAGTTATACAATTAAATTAATAATAATATCAGCATTTTTGTTGAACAAGTGTTCACATCTATATAGATAGATATGTAGATATGTAAGATACGGAAATAAAAGAAAACCTTGAATTGAGAATTGACTGACGTAGCTTGTCCACTGATTTACACTACTGTACAGTCTCACATCTTCAGGAAGACTGGTATATGTTTTAGCTGCATGAATCTGAAACGCTGACTTCCCGTGTTTAGCCCTGACTCTAGGCACCAGCAGGAGGTCGGTCCCTGAGCTCCTCAGAGTGCGAAATGGTTCATATGGCACTAACATGTCACAGATGTACTTGGCCAGGCCATGGAGAGACTTGTACACAAGCAGATCTGTTTTAAAGTCTATTCTCTGAGCCACAGGAGCCAGTGTAGAGACTTGAGCAGAGGACTTGTCCTCGTACTTCCTAGTTCGAGTCAGGACCTGAGCTGTAGCATTCTGGATGTATTGTGTTTACATCGGACTCTTCATAAATAGATTCCCAGTTATGAGTTGCTAAATCCTGCTTCAGAGCCATTATAGATTTTTCTGTTCTAACCCTCTGGTAAGAGACTCTATTAACATATTTGGTTAATTTACAGTCATACACCATAAAAACTGGTAAATGATCACTGGTGTCATTTAATAACAGATTTTGTTGCTACCCAGAATATTACAAAATATGTTATCTATTAAGTTAGCACTGTGTCTTGTAATTAATGAATACAAGCCCATGGTGAACATTGTATTGATAAATTCTTCTGTAAATATATGATTTTTGGCATTTAACAAATCAGTCTCCACATATTACAATCCTTGGTAGTTTTATCTATTAAATAACTCCCATTTGGTAAATAAATCCATGTCAAAACCTGGTGCCCTGTAAACTCAGCTGACAATTATGTCTTTTTTTTTTCTTTTCTTTTTTGCAGTGTAATTTCTACAGTTATACATCCAAAAACTTCATCCACCGCCAGAGACACTTTCTACAATGCGACAGTTCATGTTTCTATAAATATATAAAACCGCACCTCCTCCTCTCTTATGCTCTCTATTTGTACAAAACATTTCATAACCTTTCAAATTAAATTCAATACCTTTATTCCCATGTATCCATGTCTCTGACATTGCAGTTATGTCAAAGAGTGTATGTACTTTAGTGCCAGGCCACGGAGAGACTTGTACACAAGCAGATCTGCTTTAAAGTCTATTCTCTGAACCACAGGAAGCTAGTGCAGAGACCTGAGCGCAGGACTTATGTGTAGGAAAAATAACCCAGCATTTGTTTGAGAGAATTGTGTAGACATCTTTGCAGAAGAATTTCTGATAGCCCACCAAATTAAGACACGCAAGCCAGGCGACATAACTTTTTAGCTGGTACAGGCGCAGTGCCAGGCCGGTCTGACCTGCAGGAGTGACAGGAGGTTCCACCTTTGTTATATTGTAACAGCGCGTAACCGTGCGTACAACAAAATAGTGCCCAGCCCATGTAAGGCAATCAAGTGGCAATCATGGCACTTTTAACACTGAGCTCTTTGGGAAACGGAATGAAACACTGCAGACAGATGGTAGAGGAGGAGAACAAGAGAAAAGAGAGACGAAGACCTCCAAATCCCATCAGGTGCAAGTGTGCAGAATGACTGAAGAGTCTGTCATCCATTTGGCTCTCCGTACCTTCCCAAAAATCCTGCAGGTGCCCCTCACTGTGCCCGTTATATTTAATAGATCCATGACTGTGCGGTCGGTACACTGTTGGTCAAGAATATTCTGGCGAACAGCAGTTTAGAAATAGCTGAAATGTGTCAAATAAGTTAATCAACAGGAAATATTAACTACATGTATTTTACGCATGCAAAGATCAAGAACATTTTGTAAAGAGTTGTCAGATGCGAGAGACCACGTGGTTTTAAAGTACATGTAAACTACTACAGCCCCATCTAGCGGTAGAATATAGACACAACTTCTCAACCCGCAATCCCCTCTTCCTCCTTTCATAACTTTATTGTGTCAATGTTTCAAACACATACGCACGCACACGCGCGCGCACACACACACACACACACACACACACACACACACACACACACACACACACACACACACACACACACACACACACACACACACACACACACACACTCACATTTTGAATGAGTTGATTTAAGATTGCGTCTCATCTCTCTTTCTCTGGCGACATACAGTATCCATAGACTGTATATACGGTCTATGACTGTATTGCGGCGTATGTAGCCCAAAGTTTATCCCACACGCCACAGGCTAAGACACGGGGTAAAACACTGTGGACGCGTAACTCGGAACAAATGCAGCTAAATCACACGGTAACTGCATACTGTAAGAGCTGCTGCCATCTGCAGCCATGCACCAGTTCCTTCTATGTGCAAGTCTTTCCTGTTAAAATACTGTCAACAGAAAGTTCCTCCCCCTGCTCACCCTGCCACCATGATCCAATGCCTTACACTTAGTAGGTGAGCGCGCTCACATACAGGCCACACCACACCCACCGTGCCACCCTTAGTCACTGCAGTGTAGTGCACAGAGTTAAAGCTGAGGTTTTAATGATTGGTCCTGAAACTCAGAGAGAGAGGCTCAAAGCTAAGCTCCAAACCTACTCACTGAACCCCTGTGAGAGGCTAAAAAGTTAGGATTATTCTTGATAGTGTGCTTAGCTTTGAGCCACACATCAGGTCCATCACTAAATCAGATTTTTATCATCTAAAAAATATTGCCAGAGTCAGACCATTTCTCTCTCAAGCCAGTGCAGAGACTTTAATACATGCTTTTATCACAAACTGTGTTGATTACTGTAATGCTCTCCTTTCTGGTCTTCCAAAGAAAACCACAGCTCCACTACAGCTCCTCCAAAAATCTGCAGCACGGCTGCTGACGAGGACCAGGAAGAGAGAGCACATCACCCCAGTACTGAAGTCTCTGCACTGGCTTCCTGTGAGCTTCAGGATAGATTTTAAAGTTCTTTTATTGGTTTATAAAGCTCTTAATGGTCTTATTATAGTCCTATTTATTTATCTGATCTGCTTTTATCATATGAGCCCTCTCGGACTCTCAGGTCCTCAGGTAGTCTTCTTTTAACTGACCCAAGAGTCCAAACTAAAACTCACGGTGAGGCGTCGTTCAGCTTTTACAGCCCCCGTTTGTGGAACAGTGTGAGTGTTCATATTTTTAAACGTAAACTCAAAACATATCTTTTCAATTTAGCTTTTAATTGAAACTTTTACTTGTTTTATCATTATTATTATTATTATTATTATTATTATTATTATTATTATTATTAGCTTTTAATTTAATTACCATTACTATTTTATTTAGTCTCCATCTGTTTTTAGCTCTCCATTTGTATTTTTACTATAGCCCTTAGGAGCTTTATGTTTATGTTTTATTGTTGTTTATATGCATGAAATAATGGGTTTGGGGGGGTGGGGGGTTGCTGTTGTTTTTAATATTGTCAATTTTCTGTTGCATGTGAAGCACTTTGTGCTACATTTCAAATGTATGAAAAGTGCTATACAAATAAAGTTTGATTGATTGATTGATTGATTGATTGAAAGCTTGTGCACAGTAGTCAAATGAGGAAACCAATAGAAAACCCACCTATGACTCCTACCCCTGTCTGTGAAGCAGATGCCAGTGCACACTGTCAGCCAGACATCAGAATGACGCCGTGCACACGCACAGGCAGAGGAAGCACTAGCATTTGTAAAGAACTTTAAGATCTGCTCCTTTGACAGAAACAATACTTCAATAGTTTATTACCCCCTAAATAATGAAATCAGACTTTAGTCACAAAAATGTGAACACAAAAAACAGAAGGTATTATACTGGAAAATATAGGCTACATGGGCAATTCATAAGAAATAAGTAAAGTGATAAATCACGCCTACACTTAGCATTACACTTCCAGAAAATGTTGATGAGATCATCTGCAAGTATCAATAAAATGCCTTTTCTTTCATTCCTCTGTGTCGTTTTTCTGACACTATAGTGTCAGTTCCCGAAAAAACCCCGTTTAAACATTCCACCACTTTGGCCCTGATTCAAACCTATTTCCAGTAATGCCATGTGGTCATGCCAGCATGCATGACCAAAAAAGCAAATATGAACTTTGTTATCCTTGTTTATTTAATCATGTAGATTTTAGTTTTTAAACTATCTGTCATCTCTTGTCTGAAATATTAGGAGAAATACACTGTTGTCAGGTTTCTAATAGACTCATATTAAGATTACAATTATAGCCTAATATTATTTACTGTGGGTAGGAATTAAAGAAATATGGTTGAGGAGAGGCTATGTCAGATAAATCAATGTAAGTATAAGTAAAAGAATATTAATAACTTCATTTAATAAGAAGAATAATCAATCAAAACTATTATTAAACAATAAAACCCCCTCTAATAACAATACTATCACAATTGGGTTAATGTCTAATACATAGTATTTTCATTCATCTGCAACAATACAAATAAACTGTATCTTGTCTAAAATTTACAAAGTTATACTCATGGATATATTAAATAATATTATATTCCACTCAAACAGTCATGATGCTCCATGGCAACAGTATACGTGTCCTGTAGTAATCTGGGATGCTCATTTTATCTTTGCGTAGACAAACAAAGAAGGCAGTATATCAGAATAATGAACAAACAGCAAAAACAGACTCAGGTCTTTAGTCATAAAGGTCAAAAGGTCACTGTGGGAGTGATTTGAACTAGAGGGAGGCTCATCCTGTATATATAAACCTCTGTGACTGAAGGGGTGTGAAAAACAGAGCTCCAGGCAGTTACAGAAACAATATTCCCAGACGTGGAAATATGGCCAGTCGACGCAACCGTGAGTGTCTATCAATTGTATTTATACAGAGATAATATAAATGTATTATGAATGTATGTGCTATGTGTATGTATCAGCTAGAACTAGATGCATTCAACAAGTTTCATATTTTAATACTGAATGTAATCTTTCTTTGACTTTATATTTTAACTTCACTGTCACTCCAATCACTGCTGCTAGAATTTTGAATCTGATGTTACTCTTAATAGAATGCAAATATCACCACTTTAGAAATGAAAATATTGAAAAAAATATATATATTAGATTGACTTTAAGATTAAAATATCCTGTATTATTTGCTACGTGTTTGCAACCACCGAGTATATTTCAGAAATGTAGGCCCAATGTTTATGAGCTGATGTGGGATTTAACAGTTGGGTGAGACTGAGCCCATCCTGATTCCTAATACTAATAAAAGGAGATCGTGTGAACAGAGCAGAGTAGAGACAAAACAGCATTATTACTGCAAACAGCAAAGGCAGTCCATACCTCTCAGATGTTGCCTATTATTTCAGGTGTGATTACAGAAGTGGATGTGAGGAGTCATGAAAACAACCTGATCCACCGCACCAGGGAGATTGACAGGGAGCGTCTGATCGTTCGCAGAGGGCAGCCCTTCTCTGTAACTCTGCAGTGTACTGAGCCTCTACCCCCCAATCATTATCTGGAACTGGAGCTGCATGTGGGTGAGTTTCAAAGCAGTCAAATAACAATATTAGCTACTGATTTTCTCATTCAAATACATGTTGTTTTGAATATGCTATACCTATACTAGGGGTGTCAAATTATCGCGTTAATTGCGATTAATTAATTACAGTCATATTTAGCGCGTTATGTTTTTTAATCGCGTTAATCTCATTTTTAATCTCTAACTTTAGTGTTTCTGTATGTGAGTTTCTTTATTATAAAACCTGTTTTTATGTGTTGTTGGGACAACACACACAAAACACATTTATACATTTTTTATTTCGGTAATTCCACTCATTGCCGGAAACCCACACAAAACGCGCGCAGTAAGAGCGATGTAAATGTCATGTTAACGTTTGCGGCGTCAGTCGCACAATGGACGAGGTCGAAGAGCCAGTAGAACAGAGGCAGCAGTGCACAGGTAAAAACACATTCGTGTCTTGGAAATTATTCTCCCGACGTGAAATATAAAAGAAGATAACAAATATAATATCGCCTGAAAACAACCTGCATAGGCTCATGATGTCTGCACTACTGTCCTATAGTGACCTGCCACATGAGGGGACACGCACACACAAAACACACACAAATACACACAAACAAACACACACACTTCATCATCGTCATTAACCTGAGAACGCGCGGACCACGTTTCCTTCCGTAGTTACTGCGCGGACACCGCTGTCCTCCCGTGCGCCGCGTGTGGATCGTGTTTTCTCCCGTACGCGGCGTAAACCGCGCTTCCTCCTGTGCGCCTCTAAACCAGAACTAACACCAAGACTAAAACCAGGACTAAACCAGGACTAAACCAGAACTAAAACCAGAACTAAAACCAGGTCTAAACCAGGTCTAAACCAGGACTAAACCAGGACTAAACCAGAACTAACACCAGGACTAAACCAGGTCTAAACCAGGACTAAACCAGAACTAAAACCAAACTAAAACCAGAACTAAAACCAGGTCTAAACCAGGACTAAACCAGAACTAAAACCAGAACTAAACCAGAACTAAAACTAAACCAGTCTAAACCAGGACTAAACCAGGACTAAACAGGACTAAACCAGAACTAACACCAGGACTAAACCAGGTCTAAACCAGGACTAACCAGAACTAAAACCAGAACTAAAACCAGGTCTAAACCAACTAAACCAGGACTAAACCAGGACTAAACCAGGTCTAAACCAGGACTAACACCAGGACTAACACCAGAACTAACACCAGGACTAAAACCAGGATTAATCCATTCCAGGACTAAACTAGGACTAAAGTAGGTCTAAACCAGGTCCAAACCAGGACTAAAACCAGTGATCTCATATATATTTCTCTATCAATAATATTTTTAATATGGTTAAGGAAAGACTGGACTTTTTATTGTCTTTAAGTAGACAAAAGTTATTATGTTCAGATTTCCTCGTCTTTGCTACTTTACAGCAAACAGTTTCTTATTCATGGAGACTTGGGCTCAGCAGCCAAATTGGAGAGATTTGTTAAACAATAAATGACTTTATGAAGTCACTTTTTTAAATCTATATTAGTCTTTTGATCTGCCACAATAATGTAATAATGAATTTAAATGAAAATACCTCAAATTGAAGGCTTTTCTCAGCAATTTTTAGGTGAGATTAAAATGAGATTAATTAGATTAATTAATTACAGATCATAATTAATTAATCTCTCAATTTTTTTAATCGCATGACAGCACTAACCTATACTATACCAAAGAGTTTTATAGCTTTATTTGACTTAGTTAGTTTTTCTATATATATGCTATATTTTATAGAAATGTTTAGATGAACTTGTTGGTTTGATATTTAAGCATTTCTATCAGCTTTCTTACAGCTCTTTATTTTATAGCTCATAATTCCTGGCTCATATATTGTTAAAATGGCTTTAGAGTTACACAATGCTCTAAGCATAAAATAGGCTGTTAGCTGTCATCGTGTAAAGTACATTTAACATTTAGTAAAAGGTTATGACCTTCCTTAAAGTTCATCTGGACCTGGTTCCTCTTGTGGAGGATTTACTCAACTCTTATACGCTTATTACCACAGGAAATGGGCGATGAAACTTAACCAACAGAGTGTAAAATATGAGTTATGTTCAGTGGTTCTAATTTATGGTCATTTGTAAATTGTCTTTGATAGTAAGTAAGTAAGTAAGTCTTTATTTATATAGCACTTTCACAGACATTTTCTGTCCCCAAAGACGCTTTACAGCTTTACAACTTTACAACTTTACATTGCTTTACATTCAGCATTCATACAGCATTATTCATTCACTCTATACTCTGGTGATGGTAAGCTACTATTGTAGCCACAGCTGCCCTGGGGCACACTGACAGAAGCGCGGCTGCATGCCACTCGGCAAGGCTTAAATAATAATTTCAGTCATTTTTAAAGGTAAAACAGACAAGACTCTGATCAAGGTCCAGAAGCAGCAGGGAGCTGGAGAGAGGTGGTGGTTCGACCACCAGGGTCTCCAGGATGAGGTCCTGCTGACTCTCCACAGCCCAGCGGACGCTATTATTGGACAGTACAGTCTGGTGGTGCTGCTGATGTCTCCTGAAGACCACATTATAGAGAAAACAGACAAAATCAAGTTCCATTTACTGTTTAATCCATGGTGCAAAGGTAAGAGATTTTTCATGTTATATTTACATTCATGTCAATTTAATAAATTAATTATGTACAGTTCAATATCTCCCAACTTCACACTATCGCACAACTTCAGTTGAGTTTACAAACAGAAAAAAGTTAGACATTCATTGACAGTCATTGCTAATTAAAGACATGCTAATTTATCAACATTTACATGAAACAGGAACAGTGGATCACTGTCCCGGTGCATAGTCTGTCCATAGATCCTCTTTCTCTCCAAGGAAAAAAACTGTGCAAAAATAAGAAACATTGAAGAGACAACAGTGAAGGAGAAATCTGTGTATATAATGTGATTTTCATGTTGTGATTTTAGATGATGAGGTGTATCTCCCTGATGAGAGCCTGTTGCAGGAGTATATAATGAATGAGAATGGAGTCATATACCTGGGATCCAAAGATTACATCAACAAACTTCACTGGAATTATGGACAGGTAAGAAATGTACAAGAACAAACCAGGACTTTGTGTCAGTAAGGTCACTCAGGCAGTGGGACAGCTGAGATTTGTGGACTAGGGGTGTCAAAATGTTATCCAACCACACAAGCAAGGGCTGGTCTCCTCACAGTGTACTGACAAAGTGTAGGGGAAGACAGGATGGCAGAAAGTCAGATGAGTACTGAAAAGGGCCAGGAACAGCTCTCCCTTTGTTTTACATACTACATGCTTTTCAGTTTGAAGACTACGTAATGGACATCTGCTTTGAGATCCTGGACAACTCAAATGAATCACTAAAGAATTATCAACTGGACAATGAGAGGAGAGCAGATCCAGTCTACATCTGCAGGATCATCAGTGCCATGGTAGGATATATTATTCTGGTCCAACCCAGCTCAAGATAAAGCACAACATAACAAAGAGTGTTATATTTGGCTTTAAGTTATGAACAAAGAGTGTTTTTTTCTATTTATTTTTATTTTTTTGTCTATAACAGACTTAGACAAATTTATTGAGCCACAAGGGAAATAATTTGGACACAGTAGCTCACACATCACAATATATTATAATAACAAACAGCAAAAATATAAATGGTGTAGGGAAAGATGCCTGTTCAGGGCCTGCTTCCCCCATTCTGATAGAATCCACAAACCAGGAACCTAGAGAAGAAGGTTCTGCCTGACTGCCTCTTGGTATTTACAACCTCAAGAGAACCGACATTCGGTGCTTCCACACCTCTCTTCCCCCACGCCAGGTGGGACATGAATCAGAATGGGAAATTGACATAGTGATAAGGACGGTTAAATAATGACTTTCTTCATTGTGCTTTGAAGAAACAGACCCACATCATCTACATACCAGACCATCAGGCGCCAAGGTTTGGACCGGTTAAAACCGCGATGGACTGTGGTTGCCACTTTTGGACACTAGAGAAGGACTGGATTAAACGCATCTCAATAACTAGTTAAAGATGTTTAACTGTGTCCTATATAAGGCTCATGTTGATACAAGACAAATATGCCACATTGCTTAATTCATGTGTTCATAGTCTCTTGTGTGTATTTCATGTCATGTTCCCACGGAAGTATTTACGGTAACTTCACGGCGTGTTTTCAGACAGATATACCTTTGATTTCTTTCTATGAATCGTTGGCTAATGTTATCATAAACAGTTAGTACCTGAATGTGGGAAGTTATCAATTTAATATTTGCAAATGATATTTGTACGGGGACCAGTTCAGCTCAGACGCGGGCGTGCCTTAAATTTGCATATAACAACCCACCAAGCGCACTGACCAAAACGAAGCCTCACGCGCGAAAACTGCCCTTTCGCTTCGCTTCGCATCAGGCTTTTTCCACTACGCATCGCGCTTTCCGCCTTGCCTCGCCGCGTCGGAGAGACCCAGGGGGAGCTGTAACAGACCTGGAGTCGCACCTGCCGAGAGCTGAGGACCAGAGCCGGTGAAGGAGGCGTGGACCGCCCTGCCCGAGTACCATCATCACGCCGCTGCCTGCCCGTGCGCACGACCACCGCCGAACCCCGCCATCGCCGCATTCCACACGGACCGAGAACAGCATCGCCAAGTAAGGCTGGTTCAGACAGTGAATGAATAAGGGTTGGCATCCCTCTTACGATTGCGTCCAATTATTCCCAAGGCAAGCGCAGTAGCGACTTAGCGAAACGCCATAACTGAGCTAAACTGAACCCCGTTTTATAACTACCTCAGGTTGTTAAAATCGGTGCTTTAATGTTACGTAACCAGAACTTGGAAGCTGGTGTCTAGTTATTGTTTGTTAATAAACCACACAAAGGAATTTGCTGGTTTCAGTGATTTTTCTTAAAGTTATCATCAGGTCACTTTTTCGGGTACGTTCCCTTCAGATTGATTTAATTGATAAGTTGTTGTTGTCGCATATGGTTAAGTTTGATTCGGTCAGAATCTGGTGCCCCGCAAATGTATAATTTCAATAATTCGTCAAAAGCTAAACCACATGCTCAAACACGCACATCTTACAACACGTTAAATCGCATTTTCTCCTACAATGGTAATAAGAAATCCAATAAATTCAAGTAGCAAATACCAAGAGACTGGTGTCAAATAAGGTATAAACTGTATATGTACAAATATAAAAATATAAAGTAAAAATATAATATAGAAATATAGTAATACAAATATATCTCAGCTATATACAGGAGATTACTTGATTGAAGTCATTGTAAAACCCTAAACCCCTATATTGAATAAGTTTTTTTTTGTTTTTTTTAAGTTTTGGGTCAATGCATTTACCATTCATTGCATCTCAGTACCTCAAGTTGTATTTATTCCTCTATTTTAAATTCAGCATATTTTTGTTAATTGATTATAATATCTAAAATGCAACACTTTGCACTGTATATTGCCTTATCAGTGTCCTAAACTGCTGGTATTTTGTTTGCTGCAGATTAATTCCAATGGTGACAGAGGGGTGTTACTCGGCCGCTGGCAGGAGCCCTACACAGATGGGGTCTCTCCCAGTCGCTGGACGGGCAGTGTGCCTATTCTACAGAAGTGGAGCAAGGCCAGGGCCAGAGCGGTCAAGTATGGACAGTGCTGGGTGTTTGCTGCAGTGGCATGTACAGGTGAGATAAACATTCATCATTCTTGTGTCACAGGTAATCAAAAAGTACATTATTAAAGGGCCCATATTATTTATTTTCTGGTCTACTGTATGTTATAATGTTTCCTCATCACAAACAGACCTGGAGTTGTGTTTTGTTTCATTCACACATGTTTAACACACAAATCCTGCATATTTAGGCTAAGTTCTCCTGTCAAACAACTTGTTATGTCTTGTGGTAATACAGGAAGTGCTCCAATGTGTTTTTAAACTTCATACACCTTTACTAGAATCATTTGGATGATTTCAGCCCTGGAATTGCCAATCGCTAATGAGTAAAAGGTAGCTGTTATCTTGAAAACTACCACTACATGACATCACATGTGGCTTCAGAGATATAGACAGACTAATAATAACTTCAGGATTACTCCAACATGTGTGTTCAATGTTTTTGAGAAGGTAACCACATTAGAACATGGCTTAAAGCTCACAAGAGCCATTTTTTTTCTAATATGGGACCTTCAAATCAATAAACTTGAAAATATGTATTATATGTATGAATAAACTGATTGTCTTTTCAGTGTTGCGTTGTCTTGGCATCCCCACACGAGTCATTACTACCTTTAACTCAGCTCATGATGTCGATGGGAACCTCTGTTTAGATGTCCTTTACAATGAAAGACTGCAGAGAATAGACCAAGGAAAACAGGACAGCTGCTGGTAGGATGTGCTTGACGTTACATTTACATTACAATGTTATTGTAAATACCATGGCTGGGATTTCCCCATTGTGAGACAAATGAAAGTTTTCCTGTCTTTTCTTTTGATGGCATTTGCCCAGATTTTTCTCTCAATAAATCTGGTAATTTTAGGAACTTTCACTGCTGGGTAGAGAGCTGGATGAAGAGAAGTGATCTGCCCAAAGGAAATGATGGTTGGCAAGTACTGGACCCAACCCCCCAGGAGCTGAGTGAAGGTACACTCCCAAATGTGTTACTGTTTATCAAGTCTGATTAGGAGATACGTAAAGGTGCATTGTGTAACTTTTTGAGTAGAGGGTCAGCCACCTGCTTGTCTCCATGGAGATCGTATTTCTTTGTCTGATATATTTCACAGTGTGGCATTTAACTTATCCATCCATTATTCATTCAATTATGGATGTTTTTATTGCTCAAAGGACCCCTACAGTCAGTGGGCCATCCTCTTCCCAGATCTGACTGGTATCTTGCTCTGGTGGCATCTTCTGCTTGTTTCCATGGAGATAATTAAGTTTAATGCCATATTATGAAAAAGCAGAGCATCATCATGGAGACAAAAATATAGGCAGACCCTCTGCCAGAAAAGTTACATAGTGCACTTTGAGATTGTTTTTATGTTATGTTTGCTATGTGTCCTTTTATTTATGCATATCAACTTTGTATATATTTAGGAAAGTTTTGCTGCGGCCCATGTCCAGTGGCAGCCATAAAAGAGGGAGACCTGTCAGTGAAGTATGATGCTCCATTCATATTTGCTGAAGTAAATGCAGATATTGTGGAGTGGATAGTTCGCAGTGATGGTCAAAAACAAAAGGTAATGTCACCTGATAATTCTTGCTTTTGTTTGCAAAGATGTAATATTAACATACATATTTTAATAGGTCAAAGTGGATGAGCGGTATGTGGGATCATATATCAGCACAAAAAGTGTTTGGAGTGACCAGAGAGAGGATGTGACTCAAAATTACAAATATCCAGAGGGTTAGTAAAATACATTTAGAAAACTTTAGTTAATCTATAACATTTTCTAGTATTTAATCATTTTAACTATCCTTATAGGTTCCATACAAGAGAGAGATGCTTATAATAAAGCCGGACAAAGAACTCTTGTTCCAACTGATGAGAGGACTGGACTTGACAATCTGGAGCTGACCATTAAACATACAAAACCAGTGTTTGGGACAGACTTCGATGTCATAATTGAGGTAAAATAAAGTGATTATAAGTTATTTAATTACAAGTTGTCATTTGTAAATTTTTAGTCAAATAACATACACAGTAATTTGTCATTAGGTGAAGAATGACGGCATAAAAGAAGTTCAAGCACAGCTCACAGTCCTGGCTTTAGCGATGACTTACAATTCCATCCACCAGGGAGAGTGCCAGAGACAGAAAGCCAGCATCTCCCTCCATGCTGGCAAAGGTGAAGGACTTCAGTAACTTCAATTCAGATTTTACATGTGTGTTTAATCTATGCAATTAAATCACATCTAAAGCTGTATTATGCTGTTGTTTCTTCAGTCTTTATTATGTTTTAAGTTATTAATCTCTTGTGCTTTAGTCCACAAAGAGGTTTTGCGTCTGCGCTATGATGACTATGTGAGGTGTGTTTCTGAGCATTACCTGATTGGATTGAAAGCGTTCCTGGAAGTGCCCGGGGAAAATGAGCCTATCATGAAAACAGCAAACATCCCACTGAGCAAGCCTGAAATCCTGGTTCAAGTGAGTACAGTCTTCCTACATCATTTATCATTAATTACATCAGTAATTGCCAAACAATAAATGTTTTTAATCATTATATATTCATTTTTAGGTGCCTGGCAAAGCTGTGGTACTTGAGCCAGTGACCTGTATGATCTCTTTCACAAATCCTTTGCCTGTGTCACTGAAAGAAGGAGTCTTCACAGTGGAGGGAGCAGGTCTTTTGGCTGCCACTGAAGTCAATGTGAAGTGAGGGCTGAAGCATGTTCCTTATAGGCTTAAAGCATACTTTCTGTGTGAACCTTTTTGTGTTTCTTTGTCATTTTCAGAGGGGACATAGCTCCAGGCCAGAGGGTGTCTGTGAAGCTGTCTTTCACTCCTGTGAGGACCGGAGTGAGGAAACTCATGGTCGACTTTGATTCAGATCGACTGAAAGATGTGAAGGGAGTTGCTACTTTGGTTGTCAGAAAGAGATACAGTCCTATGACTGTGAGATATTTTTAACATGTTTTAGATTTGTATTAGTATTGAAAGCCTATTAATTTTTTAATTATTTGTGCTTTTTGATCAAACTGAAAATAAAATGCATGCATGTTTTTGCTTATGAATTCTGTGATTCATATAACTATATTTTTGATATCCTACAGAAGGACGTTAGTTTCTTGCAGATGTGTTATTATATTTAGTTTGTCTTTGGCTATGTGTTTCTTTGAATACCTTTTGTGATTACTTTTTGCTATACATGCATTTTCTAATAAATTACTTTTACAACGTTTTGTCTTCTGAATTTACAATACATACTGTTGATACATACTGTCCAGTGTACAAATAAATAAACAAGAACATCAATGAATACATTAAGAAAATATAATGTAATATACGCGTATCAAAAACGAAAAGAAGAAATGTTGCCAAAGTAAATAACCAAAAGCGGAACCATTGTACTGGACGTTCGGTTTCTCGGCCAGGGCAAACCCATTTCAGTGTGACACCCGGCGTCATTGGTGTTTTTGCAGCTCCAGAGCAGAGTCTGACTCTCTGAGCGAGATTAAAGTAAGTCTTATGTTTACAAAACTTTATCAGATATTACAGTGTGAAGGTTAGCGTGGGTGTTATTTATTTCAAATACCAAACTATTCCTTGTTAGTGGCGCTTGTGCATGAGCTAAACAGAAGTGCAGAGTCAATGGTTAGCGCGCTGTCTGTATTTACAGTCTGTGTTAGCTCTGGTGGCGCTGGACAACTGTCTGTTATCACCACTGACTGTAGCACTATTAAACACTAACTCTGTATTTGGCTGTGCTTGTGCATTTACCGAAATAAAATGTGTAGCTTATTTGAGACAAGGATTGCAAAAGGTGGAATACTCTTTTAATAAATATTGCTGTCTTTTGCTAACATAAACCGCTGTTAAATACGGAAATGGTTTACAGACATTAACTGCAGTCGATAATTAATAATGGAAATATTACGCATTTAATGAGGAATAGAGTGATAAGAGCTACGTACAGTTGAACTTAAATATATTTGGGATTGTTCGTAACCTAAATGTGCAATAGATTATGTTGACCACAAGAGGGCAGTGCATTCCATGTTATTGAACAACAGAAAATATTGACTCGAAACGCAAAGATAATGTTAAATGTATATTAAAAAATAACGCGCGTGTATTATGTTGAAACACTGTGAAAAGGTAATGGTTAAAGAGAAATTTCAAACAGACAGTTCATCATCTCATCCAAGTTATTGCCTATAGAGCCATCAGAATCCTACCTAAATTGTTACATTTAGATTTGTATGCACTTTTTAAACAGAAGAGACCGTTTTCATGGCTGATGGTGTGGACCTGAGCAGGAAGTTTGTGTCCGAGTCGGAACTTGATGAAAGAAGAAAAAAGAGGCAAGAGGAATGGGAGAAAGTGCGAAAACCTGATGACCCGGAAGGTAAAACAATAGCCCTTAATAGTTCTTCTTCCACTGTCTTTTATGTATTATTTATGTATTTATTTATTTATGTATTTTATGTGTATTTATTGTATTTTTTCTTTCCTCAGAGGCACCAGAGGAGGTGTATGACCCTCGCTCTCTGTTTGAACGGCTACAGGAACAGAAAGACAAGAAACAAGAGGAATTTGAGGAGCAGTTCAAATTTAGTGAGTTTCTAAATAATAATTTTATGAAGACACTGATGAGCTGTAAGTCTTCGTTTGTACGGTTCGTTACTCCACCTAAGAAACCTTATCAGTCTTTATACAGACCATAACTATGATAACTGACCAATATAGAACTCTAAAGCAGCATTTCTTTAGTCAACACGACAACAATATTTTGTCAATATATATTTTTTTTTACCCCTTTTTTGCACTTTCTGGGTTAACCTTTGGGTGTTTTTTCTTTAAATACATTACTGTACATTTTTCTGAATCAATTTGAAATGAAATGTATCATTATTTCTACTGAGCTACTGTTTACAGATGTGAACACATTGTTTATATCGTGAGGCAGCTCAGCTTTATTGTGAACATGCTTGTTTTTTTTAGACTCAGGTCACAGAGGCGTATGGATTATTTTTTGTTTTAGAAAGATGTCATAGTTTGCCCCATGTGTTGAGCATGTGTGTTTCCATGGTTACAGAGAACATGGTGAGGGGATTGGATGAGGACGAGACCAGCTTCCTGGACGAGGTCTCCCGGCAACAGAGCCTTGTCGAGAAGCGACGGAGGGATGAAGAGAAGCTAGAACTGCAGGAATACAGAATATCCTTTCATCCACATGTTGTTTAGAGAAATTACCATTTTAATTACTCCCCATCACTCACTGACTAAATGAGCTAAAATGTGTTTTCAGCTTCTGTGTAGGTCTGGGCCTTAAAATTAAGTGCTTAAGAAGAGGGGGAAGAGACATTCTGCTAATTTTTGGAAAAACGTATTTAGTGAACTTTATTACAACTTTACTTCAATTTGTGAGCCTTGCTATAAATTTTAAAGTTTTGACATACAATATCAATATAGACAAATAGTTTTTGATTAATGGCTACAGATGCAACACAGATAACAGTATGTAAATTCCACTACAGAGGAGCAGCATACATGCAATTAAACCCCTTTCCAAAAGAGCAGCGTGTACCCTGGTTATGTTCAAATGACTTATCAGCAATATTTTCAAAGACAGTTTTAGATGTTCAGTCGCCAGCCCTTTAATTACAATTTTATGACACTGTCCCTGAGTGGTTAGCATTTTCGTCTCATAGCAAGAAGGTTCGCCAGGGCCTTTCTGTGCAGAGTTAGTCTGCATGTTTCTCCTGGTGGCTGGATACGGGTTTCCTCTGGGAACTCTGGTTTTCCCCCATCAACACCAAACATGAACCATGAGCAAAATCCTCCAGCCCAGGTGATGGGTCCCCTGAAGGGTCAAATGCAGAGGTCAAATTTCCCTAAGGGGTCATTAAGGTAAAGTAAGGTAGATTTTATCTCTCATATGTTACTTGTTACTACATTTGGTGGTTAAAATCAAATCAATCCAGTCACATCAATTATCTCTTTGTGGAAAATATTAAGTGATAACAATGCTAGCTCATATGTGAAAACGAGTGCATAGTTTTTATCCAAGGAAAATCTTGTTTTTTTGTTGTTGTTTTTTTAGTGAGTTTTCCAAGTTTCCTCATGCTTTTGGCTAATTGAATGCATCTTCTGTTGGCTTTACATTTGGAGACCATGCATGATGCTAATATGGGTCTCTGCGGGTGACTCATGATAAGCAGCTTTGCATGTGTTGGCAAAGGTACTTCAGCTCCCTCTGCACCTTGCATACAGAACATCACAACACTGCCAGCTGTCGGTGATAAGAGAAGTTCCTGTATAATTGGCATATTGTGAACAAATGTCATATTTTATTTATGTTACTTTTATTTATCCAATACAAATGCTTTTTCAAGGATGTCTCTGGCAATGGGTCAACGGTCTTGCTACCCATTTGTATGTTTAGGTAAATTGTTTATGGGAGACACTAATGAGGAATAATAAGCTTTCTCCCCTGTGAAATGGACAAGATGTACAGTTCGGGTGTAGCTGCTCAGCGGTCGCTCTGTCAACACTGTGATAGACAGGCTCGTTTGCAGATGAAACAGAAAAAGGGTTGTCGTGGAAACTGTATCACAGGCTGGTAACTACAGTGACAGTGAGCTTAAGCCTGCTCAGAGGTGCAGGTGTTAGTTAATACACAGAAACCTAGGGGCTGTTGACTTATGTCTGACACTGCTCTAATTTGGACCTGTCCTGTGGTTTTGAACTCCCATCTCCCTTTTTCTTCTTCTTCTGTCCTACTTCATGCCCCCCGAGTCCTTGTCTAACCCTTTTCTTGTTTTAGACCTAATCTGTGTCATCTCGTGCTTTTTCTAGCTGTTCACAAGTGTGTCACTGTTCACTTGGATCCTAATGTGAGCTATCAGTTCATCTCCTTTTAAACTCTCATAATGTGTTGTCCATGTGTACCTTAACTGTCTAGCACAGTGCTATTGCAAAACATTCAGCATCTGAAACCCGCAGAGAACCTGAAAAGAAGACGACATCTAAACAATCTGCAGGAGAGCAGCGAACCAGCCACTTGTCCCAGGCCCATTTACTAGCAGGAGCTGTAAAGAGGCGCAGGTACACCCGCAATGATGGAAACATTAAGGCATTAGAATTATGTTTCATTTAAGTAACATTTCTACATGTTCCAGAAGATTATGATGGCATTTCATCTTTTTTATTATCTCCCTGCAGTTCCTCACAGTCATCAGACAGTAGTAAAAAACAGAAGGTGGAAAATGCAAGTTCAACAACAACAGGAATGGGAGACGCACACACAGGTGGGCTGGAGCCAGGGTGTGAGGGGAGGTGTCAAGGGAGGAGAGCAGTTTATTTACAATGCTACATATATTAAAATGATCACATACTCTTTCTTTCACACGTTCTTAAACTGACATTTAGACTTGACCTGATGTAAACTTAGTTTGGTCCCATTCATGTTCTGGTTTAGATCAGAGTTTAAAGTTTAGTCACAATTTAGTCCAACCTTTGTTGGTGTGTGAAGTACCCACACACCCTTGATGTCATCAGTATAAGGGTTTTATGTGTTGTGCTGTTCAGAGCAGGAGCGAGGATCACCCGGAGAAGCCAGAGGAGCTGAGCGGCCACAAGGACCCACATCGAGAGCCCCTTCTGCTCCCCAGGGAGCCCCCCGGGGTGTGGTGCACCTGCCTTCTGCTGCTGTCTGCGTGGGCGTCCTACCTGGACTCTGCAATTACTCGGGCAGCAGTGACTCTGACAGCAGCTCGGACAGCGAAGGTAGCGTGGATGTAATCATGTCGCCGTACCCCCGGCAAACCAGGGCATACAGATAGATGCATAGAATACCTGTTGCATACACATACATATTCAGATAATATATTGTGACTGTTAATGTTTGCTCCCAGTGAATCCTCCTATTACAAGCTGTGACGTGAATTGACTTAATATCCAAACTGAACCTGTGCTTTTTCTATTTGTGCTTTTTTGATTGTGGCACTCAAACGTGACGCCTCCACCCATCCACCTCCATCCTTCCCTCAATCACATGCGTCGCAGTTTAAACCGGCAGCCAATCCCGCGCTGCTTTTCCTGACGAGCACCCGCCCCTTCCCCTCCATCTCCCTCTCCTCGTCCCACCCTGAGCCGCAGTGGCCGTAGGCTGTACTATTGGCTGAGCGATGTGATTGACAGCTATGGCGCACTGGAAGAGACTGCTTACACTGTCATGCGTCTTTTTAGGAGAGGAGAGCAAGCCCTGACAGGAACCACCCTCTGTACCTCCCAGAAACCTGTGAAAAGTGCTGGTTGTGTGACTTATCGGTGATTGAAAGATGTTCAGTTGTGTGCTGCTCTGCTTTTCCATCGGAGCAGGTGAATAAAGTACTTTACCTCACTCTATATGGTCCAAAGTTACATTTGATAAACCCAGACAGAAACTAGATTTAAAGCTGTTATTTTTGGCTGTTATATTTAAAAGCTGGTAAAGTTGCAGTTCCAGACACAGACCATATTTTGAAATCCTATTATGATTTTTACAGTAGTGCAGTGACATAAAATGATGAAATGCTAAGAGTGGGAATTATCAAATGTGTCACGATTTGACTGAGTTTGACTAAAAAAACATTTTGGTTTACATCAGAAGTTAATTAAATAAGATTACTTTTAAATCCTATATATTTTTTAAACTTAATTTAAATATTATTTTTAGCATTTGTGTCAACCTACTGATTAGCACTCCTAGGATTATTTTGATTAGTTAAATAATATATTTTGCCACCCTTATAAAATACCACTTGTAATGTAACTGAACATAAAATTTGCATCACTGACAATAGACGATGTAGATGAGGCATTACTCAGCAGTTTTTTCAGTCTGTAAAAATTTGTCATCCGCCAGTGACAACCGTACAAAGGACCTTAAAATGAACCTGATGAATGTGATTTGATCAGAATAAATTCAGTCTTCAAGAAAAACCCGCACCTGGAGCCACAATAAGACAGAACATCTTCAAGGTGAGACAGAGAGAGATAAAAAGCCTACACAGAAATCTGTCACACATTTAATTCACTGAGTGTCTGGGCTGCAATAAGTTCAGTAAGTTTGATTGCTTTGGGATTGCTTTAGTTTCTTGGTTCATGTGAAAGATGAAGCCAAGTAACACAGGCACTGGAAGGAGTTGCTATGACAACAAATGATATACCAAACAAAAGAAGATCTCACATCAGGACTAAAGCTCTTACGGGACCAACCACCAGTGCAGAAATGGAGAAAAATAAACAGTTTATTTACAAGAGAAAAACACAATGGGAACAGGGCATTTTTGTGAGCCTAGAGTAAATGACTTGCTTTGCCCAGGAAGGGACTGGTTATCTCTTTAAGCCACACAGTGAAGTGTGAATGGTTTTCGTCCACACTTGCCTATTGTGAATATGTTCTGATGCATTTTAGCAGAAGGGCTTTCGATTCCTGTCTGTATACGTAAAACACAGATTGTAATTAACATGGAAATGCAGTTTAATTTAACCTGAGTGTGGACAAAGACACAACTTTATAAAATTGGCCACAGTTTGCACACGGGTGCACAATAAGACGCACAGTAGCATTAGCACACTATTTAGCACTGCATAAAAAGTACATTAGAAACAGACCAAAACAGCATCATATAAATATACATTCAATAAATATGCATATTAGGATCTCTGCTGACAGGAATACTCTGACACTGTTAACACTGGTCTTTCAGCAGAATTGCATGATTATATTTACAAAATCTAAATATAGACAACTACTTCATAAAATAATCAAAGGATTCATGCTCTCATAATTGTTTGTAAACAATACAACTGGCAACATGCAAGAGAAACTGGAATCTGGATAGACAAGGATTTTGCAAAATCTGGCAACATAGTCCCATGTTAAACAGCTTTTAAGAGACTTGTGCTGCTACAGCGTCCTCTACAACTTTAATTTTACCCTCCAAAATCTTAAGAGTTGGTTGGTCTTCATGAATAAACAGCTCTTTTGAATTCACACACTCGTGCTGAAGGACGTAAAGACCTCAGCAGCGCATCATTCACTGATTTATTTCAGTGAAAGGGGGACTTGACAATTTCACAGGATCGACTCACAGACACACACATGCATGAGGCAAACTAACTCTGATCCATCCGTTTCATAAAGAGGCCAGTGTTCTTCCTGCTTAAGTCTGTTGGCAGTGTCTGCAAGATGCTGGACATACCATCATCACAGCTGCGTACGCAAAGAAATTCACACTAGATATTAACCAAACAACAGGGCTCGCTTCAGTGCGCAGTCCACAACTTGACTTACACATGTCATTCAGAACTGTTTCAGTGAACATCAACTACATATTCCGAGATAATGTACAGGGGACAGTGCTTGTTGCAGCCTCACTCAGGTGCAGGGTTTGCGGGCGGGAGATTTCTCTGTTTGAAATACTGGGTGACTTGCTGAGGCAGCTCGGCCAGGACTGACTTGGCCAGAGTCTCCTTTGGAGCCTGAATGGAAGACAGAGACGGAGCATTATCATACCATAGTTATTATACTGTAGAAACTCACTGTAAAATTAGGTGAGGGTAATGTTCAAAACTCATTTAAAGAGACTTCATTACTACATCATTACAGGATGTTAGAGTAATAAGTATATGCTCGAAAATTCTCCATTCATAAAAACTCCACTTTATCAGTAATGTTTAAGCTGACACTTCTAAGTCAGAGCAGCACTATTGTTCCATCAAACATGAGCCTGGGGCATGGTATCCTGTGGGTATTGTATTGCACACATGTATGAATGAAAGGTACAGTCCAACAGTTGCTTGTGTAAAGCAGCTGAACTTTAGTGTTGAAAGAGTTACAGGAGGTTTTAGGCAGCTCTCATTAAGCAGCTCCTTGCTGTCAGCTCTGCTGTGTGCTGCTGTCTCTCGCCCTCCCACCAACAGACTGGACTCATGCCAACAAGTGCGCCCACTGCCAGCCCACACAGAGCGCACTAAATGAATGTAACAAGGACAGTGTCATTAACCTGAGAGTAGCAAATCACCTAAAACACCTCCCCATGTGTTTATTATGCAAATGTACAACTGTGGTATAGTAGTAATAGGCTAATGCTGCTGTCATAAACATACAGGTAAGTAACTAAGTAAGGCCATTAAAAATTATTTTAAGAGTTGGAGTTGGAACTCACGTTGCGGAAATCTCTAAAAGGGACAAATTGCACGATGTCCCGGACGGCCTCCTCTCCAGTGCTGGACCTCAGGACACTGGCGTCTCCATCCAAGAACTCCATGGCGGCGAAGTCGGCGTTCCCCACACCGATGATGATGATGGACATGGGCAGTTTAGACGCCTGGACGATGGCGTCCCGAGTCTCGTCCATGTCACTGATCACCCCGTCTGTGATGATGAGGAGAGTGAAGTACTGCTGCACAGGGGACAATGCACAACAAGTGTGGATTAACTTTGAGAAGACTTAGATTTAGACTTCGACATTACACTTAAACTAGTAGAGCTTTAAGAATCTACAGTATATCCTGAAATTGTGCATAATCCACAACAAACCTACCCAAGATTTATATTAATCTCTGGCAGTAATCAGAAGATGAAACGGCCCCATGGACCAGCCAATTTCAAGTGTTAAGCATATTAAGTGAAAATAATTCTAATCCCACAAAAGGAGACATTGAATAGGACACATCTGAACCAGACTGTACACCAAGCAAACAGTAAAAAAAAAAGTTGTGCTTTTGCCACAGAATTTTGTGTGATAGGCACAGACAAGGTGACTACTTTGAACAAAAGCTCCCTTCCTCTGTACACACAGACACAGTGGGTGGGCTCTGAAGCCTGTCCCTTTAATGTGCTAACAGCAATGCTCATTAGAGGATCATTCTCAGAGACAGACACACGGCTGTGGGCCAGTGCAGGGAGAGTCGCAGGTTCTCTCATTATCTGCAGTTCAACACCAGACTGAGCCACAACCTACAGTGCCTCCACCTACTCCCACACACAAACCACATGGAACTACTACAGCCATATGGGGCTAGAGCACTGACACTGAGGCTGTCACATGTCAAACTTCATCTTGTCTGATCACCCATAACATAATAAAACCAGACTGACTTTCTCCCAGAGACAAAGACACAGCTCACAGTGAAGTGAACGCTTTTTAAAATTTACTCGAGTGTTTTGTTCTCAACGGGTGACAGGATACAATTAGGGACAAAAAGCCCTGTGGGAGCATAATGATACCCAACTACTGTAGCTTCTGAACAGTAAGGCAGGGGACATGGCACAGCCTCCAAGGAGAGAACAGAGAATAGGGTCAAAGTTGGACAGGTGTGTAAGCTACGAGTATTGTCTTAGAGATATATATTTCAATATGAAAAGATCAAAAGATACTGCATTTTATTTCATGCACCCCGATTATTGTATATCCATGCAACAGTAATAAAATTGACAGCTTGCAGCTGATACTTTGTACTTGGCTTATTTCTGTCCCCAAGTGACACATTTAGAGGAGTTGCCACAGAGAATTATCAGTGATTACACATAAGGCTGCAGACAGTCTGTGAGCAGCCAAACACTGGCCTGGATCTCTCATTTGTGACTCCAGCAGAAGCAAGGTGAGAAAAATCCACACTGTGGTACAAATGGCAAATAAATGTTTGGGTATAAAAAGAAAACTGAGGAAGACTTGTCCACACAGACCCGTTATATTTTAGTGAAATTACACCAGATCCCTGAGTCCCTATTTACCACAATATGACAGATGCCTGAAATTCCCTCTGTAGTGTGCATGTAAAAGTGCTCTTTTCCTCCTGTCTGTCTGTGGCCTAGTGCTGTTCTGCTGCTCGTACTTCAGCCTAAAAACAACAAAGATGATTGTGATGATTTGCGTTGGATCCTTCTATGACTAAGAACAGAACAGAGAGACTACAACAGTGGGTGATATTTAACTCTGTGCTTTTTCTCATTGGCAGCCTCAATTATGAAAGCACAACTGAAGCAACTGCATTTACAGATTGCACTATGTAAGAATTATATTTGAAACAGGCTTTAATTCTGCTTCATATATTTTACATTTATTTCTCCAGATACCAGAGGCAAACCTGATCTGACCCATGAAAATAATAAAATATTGCAGAGCTGAGGATCATAGGAGAAGAGGGAGTATAGTCTGACAAGAGAGCCTCTCATTGAAATGCAGGCTTGCCTTCACTACTACAGCATGTAAAATCACATAAAGCATGTGTGTCACCTACCGCTGCTTTCTCTTGCTGAAGGGCCTGGGCAGCAAAGCGTGCTACATGGTTGATAATTGGAGCGAAGTTGGTGGGTCCATAGAAACGGATGTGAGGCAGGCAGGCTGAGTACGCCTGTGCGATACCTTCCACACCTAGAAACAATTTATAATACAAGAAATTACATCATATCTGTTATCTGTAGTTACGTAAGATCTGCCAGACTGTGAACAAGCACTAACTGCACTTAAAGGTCCTATATTATGCAAAATTTACACTTGTGAGCTTTAAACTTTGTTACCTCCTCAAAAACGTGACTGGAGTTGTGTTTTGTTTCATTCACACATTTGAGTAACCCTTTATTATTGGCCTGTCTACATCTCCAAGCTCCAAATATTGTGGTAGTGGTAGTTTTCAAGATGACAGCCTTTTATCTTCAGTAAAGATTGCCAATTCCAGGACTGAAGTCATCCAAATGGTTCTAGTGAGGTGTGTGGAGTGTAAAAACACAGTGGAGCACTTTGAGCACTTTGTGTTACCACGACATCATAAGGTGGAACTGAGTGTTTTCTGCTTGAGAGTAGAGCTCAGCCTAAATATGCAGGGTTTGTGTGTTAAACATGTGTGAATGAAACAAAACACAACTCTAGGTATGTTTGTGATGAGGAAACATTGTAACAGATCAGAAAAGAGTGTAATACTAGTATGAACTTTACAAGCTTAATAAAAATTCCTTCAAATCAGTGGTTATTGTTTGGTCTGGATCTTTGAAGAGCACTACAGGCTGAGTTGGCCTTTTGAATAGAGAATGCTGCAATGTTCTCCCCGGCTTTTAGAAGATAGCTCATGGAGTAACCTTGGAGAGAGGGCTCTTGTGTAGGCAGATGTTTAATAAAGATGTGCTGTACGAGTAGAGATGGGTCTTTAGCTCGGGGTTGTGAATGCATGGGAATATTTAAAAGTACCTCCTCCTGACAAGATAAAAAGTATATTTCCTTTCGAGTGTGCTTGTCAATAAATGCATTTGCTACTGCCTACACAAATGTTAGTGCTGTATTAAGAGCAAGCACACAATAATAAATAAGTGGTTTGTTAGAACACAGCACACAACTCAGATCAGCTAAGATGGAGGAAGCACACTGTGTACTTACTTTAATGTGATTATGTCTTTAGACTCTACTAATGTGACTGGAAAGAGTGGCTGAAAATAAAACATTAAATTATTACTTTTAAATATGAACACGAGGGAAGCTTCTGACTAATCTATGGAGAATAAATGTGTTTTTAGACACAAGACCACAAAAAAATCTACTTAATCATTATTCTGTCAAAAACATCTAATATCAGTTTCACAAATTTTTACGCAGAATCACAATTACATTTAAAGGTCCTATGTTACACAAAATTGGGTCTTGTGAGCTTTAAGGCATGTTAGAATTTTGTTATCTCATTTAAAAAAAAACAAAAAACCTGGAGTGTTTTGTTTCATTCAGGCATATTTGTGTAATTATTAGTCTGTCTATATTTCCAAAGCTCAAAATACTCTGTTCCACCTTGTGTTGTCATCTTATTCTAATGAACATGTATGGATTTGGAGCACTTCCTGTATTACCACATGGCATCACAAGGTGGAACTGGAGCATTTTCTGTTTGTGAGAAGCCTAAATATGCAGGGTTTGTGTGTTAAACGTGTGTGTGAATGAAACAAAACACAACGCTGTATGTTTATGATGAGGAAACAGCATTATAACCTATAGTAGATAGACAGAAAATAGCACAATATGAGCCCTTTAAATTTAACGCCATATTAAAGCAAAGCAACAACATCTCCATGGATACAAGCTGATGAGGAAGCCTCCACCAGAAAAGGTACAACGTACATCTGTGTGGTTTGTTTGTCTTGTGCTTTAGTGAAACTCCACACTCACCTGAGCAGAAGGGGTTGGTGGGGTTAAAGTTTATGGCAAACTCATGTGAGACCTACGAAACAAGAGAATCGTCATCAGGTCCATCATTCAACATTCTGAGCAAAATATTTAGAAAATACTGTCCATCTCTCCCACACGCAGCCTCCCACCCTCTGTGTACCACTCTCCTTTGTCCTTTTCATCCGCACACTGCCATGGCAACACAGATGGGTTGACAGTTGCGTAATCATGTGAATATGCATGTATAATACTTGGGTTTCAGTGTGTGTGTACAGTTAGGGCTCGCTTCAAGCACCTGACACACACCGCAGCCTATAAGCGTTGAGTCTGTTTGGCACATGCACGCACCTATCAGCATCCACAACCACCACACGCACGTACCTTCCAGTCTGGTGGGAGTTTGGCGCCGAAACCCAGCGCAGGAAACATTTTGTCACTGAGAGGAAACCATGACAACAGATTAGGATGTTAGTTAAATCTGCATTTTTTTTTTTTTTTTCAGATACATTCTTGAGGATTTAGAAGGCAATCCTGTTTCACTAAGTATTAAACGTATTTACAGGAAGACAACACAGTGATTTTGGGATCTATAAAAAGAAATTGCAGCAACAAACATAGCAACATAGAAAATATATTTATATATATTCTATTAAAAGCAAGCAAAATATTCCATTAAATATTCCTACAATATAATATTAAAGCATTGTTAAAAGGGGTGTTTTTTCTGTTGTCTATTATGCCAAACTACTACAGTTAGTATGGAAGTAGAGCAAAAAAAAATTCAAGATTTTTGAATAGAAAGAACAGAAGGTTGTGATGTCAACCATGTAAAGAAGAGCATTGTGGTACATACGTGTCATAGTCTTGTATGATCTGTCCTACAGCCAGGATCGCTGCTAGGTACTCGTTGCTGCCGAGTGGATTGATATAATGGAGGGATGAGGGCTCACAGGGGTTTCCATTGGAAGCTGTGAAGTCTATGCCAACCTGAAAAGACAAAAAAAACAACAACATTTAAACATTTAAATTTCTTTCATTACCAACCAAATCTCTCCAGATGTTTAGAAGTCCTATACTACACGAAATTGATTCTTGTGAGCTGAATGTTGTTAATATAATGTTATAATGTTGTTACATCATCAAAAACATACCTGCAGTTGTGTTTTGTTTTATTCATACCCATTTAGTCTACATCTTCAAAGCTCAAAATGCTCTGTTCCACCTTGTGATGTCATGAAGCAGTACTTTTCAAGTTATCCGCTGCTTTTACCTTTTGTTCAATAGAGACTGGTAATTCCAGGGCTAAAATTTTTCAAATTCTAGTGAAGATGTATGGAGTTTAAAGACACAGTGGAGCACTTCCTGTATTATTAAGACATGACATCACAAGGTGGAACATAGTGTTTTCACTACTCAATACTACTACTGCAATGTGTTGAGTGTTCATGTATCGATGGTAAATAAATTCAAACTGGGAAGAATTAATTGCTGGCTTGTACATTAAAAAAAACTAACAATACTATGGCTTTATTGATACTTTTTAGTGACATCAAGCTGGGGTGTTCTACATGTATCTCTACTGGTGTAATTTTCAGCAGTTACCGTGGACAAATTAGCAAACACAGACAAAAATGTTTGAAGATAGTCTGAAAAAATACAAAATGGATTTAGACAACTAATTTTCAGTGTTAATTTCAACAAAAAAGGTGAGTGTGAGTAATTTAAAAACAGTTGGCTTGTGAATGTAATTTTATGTGCAAAACTTGTTTAAGCGCACAAATCATCTCAGCTGTTGTAGCTCCAACCAAGTCAACTCTTTAAAAAAATAAAGATCAGATTAAGTCTAACTTGACTTGAGTAACAGAGATTCAGACAGAGTAGTGCTGTCAGTTAGCTTCACACTCCCAGGGAATATTAATAACATTAGCTGCAAATATCAATACTGCTTAATATACCGTAGCACGTTTACCAACAAAACACAAGGCAATACTGTACACTGTCCTTTCACAATGACGAAAGTATCCTGAAAGCACAAGAGGAGTATTTTTAACACAAATGACCACAGGGATACACTGTGAAAGCACACAGTGTGTAATAATAATCATCTTCTGGAGGCCTCCAACACGTTCACACAAAAACTCACACAGCCAACGCAATAGGAGATTAGGAGTGACAGCCCTTTCCTCAGGCACTTTTCTGTGTTGACAAGAGCCCGACCCATGCACACCGCCTACCCCCTATCAGTGTAGACATAGCCAAACATCCCCCCTTTTGTGGGTGCCCAGACTGTATTAAAGAAACAACATTCTGCTCCACTTCAATGACCAAGAAAAGAGAAATCCAAAATAGAATCACAAAGTGGGGTTTAGGCATGTCGTGATAACAAATTTTAAAGCACGATATATTGCTACAGAGAAATATTGCATCACACAAAGCAGGATAATCCCAGTAAATTTTTTTTTAAAATATACAGTATCACAAAAAGTGCAAGGGGGGGGGGCTGCTATAATATTAGCTCATCAGCTGGTCTCACTTTGTGGAAACCGCTGACCTCGTAGCATTAGAATTCGTTTGCTCGACGATAGGTGGGGACTTTTTTTAATTTAACCAATCGCTGCTATTAGGTTGTGATGTATATAATGCAAGAAGAAGAAGGGCAATAACGTCTTACCCCTTTATAAAATTCACCAAACATTCTCTTTGTTCTGGCTTTAAATCCTCAATCTTGGGAATCGTTGCTAACACAGAATATGTGGCTCTTCGCTGAATGGCTGGTGCCCGGACTCGCACTTCCAGGGTTCTTGTTCTGTCTAGTGTTTTCCAATTCCTGACCTAGCCACTGGAGAGAAATGAAATTGAGCAGAGGCACTAGGTGGCGCCAGCCTGGCTACTACAATATAGCATTCTGTATATTTATTTCCATGAAGAGAGCAGCTGATGCCTCAAGGCCAAGTGAAGTCAGATCTGTGGAGCGGCGAGTCTGCTCACAGTGAAAATGCCTGTTGTTCAAGGTATTGTTGAGCAATAAAAACAGTTGTAATTGAAAAAAAATGCAAGCTAATTAAGTTTAATGCCTTACCGTGGAACATTCCAGGCAGAGCAATCACATCTGTATATCTATAGAGATAAGCAGGTGGCAGACCCTCCACTTGAAAAGTTACGTCAAGTTAAAAGCTGCAATAAATGAATAAATATCAGAAGAAACCAATAACTAGCCATAGAAGTTATTTATTCTACCCTCTACAGCTCAAATTTTATCATATTGCAGAAAAATGACAAAAATCTCTGAATTACTGCAAAGAAATGTACACGATAAATACTGAGCCCCAAAACTAATTGTTACAGCTTTCATATACTGAACAATAATTTGATCTTTAATTAATTATGGTGACTTAGGTAGGTTTTAAAATGTATGTACATATAAAGTGGAGATAGGGAGAGTAAAGCAGCAGGAAGTGCAGGAGTGATGGACAGATGCATGCAAGGTGACAGATTCAGGGTGATGCTGTGCCGGATATGAGCACGCTTATATGTTTTAGCAGGAAAAAGTAAACACAGTGTCATGATGTAGGTCCCAATTCAATCAGACACACTGGGAGAGAAGAAGTTATTATTTTGCTTTGCAGTTTTTATGTTGTTGTATTTATTAAAGTTAATTAAAATTAGTAGTAGCTTAAAGGTCCTATATTACACAAAGTGGATTCTTGTGAGCTTAAAGCCATCAAAAAACATACCCAGAGTTGTGTTTAGTTTCATTCACACATGTTTGAGTAACTCTTATAGGTCTATCTATATCTCCAAAGCTCAGAATGATCCATTTGATCTAATGATGTCATGAAGTGGTAGTTTTCAAGTTAACATGCACATTTTATCTTTTGTTCAGCAGCGATAAGAAATTTCTGGGCTGAAAGTATCCAAATGATTATAGTGAAGGTGTATGGAGTTTAAAAACACAGTGGATTGCTTCCTGTATTACCACATAACATCACGAGGTGGAACAGAGCATTTTGAGCTTTGGAGACTAATAAACCAGGTTTACTCAAAACATGTCTAAATGAAACTAAACAAAACTCCAGGTGTATTTTTAATGAGAAAACAACATTATAACAGATCAGAAAATAGCGTAATATGGGCTCTTTAAACAAAATGGGCCGTGATCACACAATCCACTTTCACATCCTCACAGACGATGATAGAAGACTCCAGCTGCAACTCAATTTATTTTTGGATTTTATAATTAATCTGCCTAAGTGTCTCAAAATCTTCACAATCACTGTTTAATCATAGAAGAGGTCTATGTCTTTGTACAGTGATAGGAACTACTTGGAAAGAAAAATTGCTATTCAAACTTATAATAAGCTTGCTTCAATGCTGATATTTGTGTAATTATTTATTTTTATGTTTTAGAGATTATATAAAGGATTAAAGGGCCTTTATTACATTATTTTGTAATACATGTGTTCAAAATGTGTTCAAAATGTGATCAAAAACATACCTTGTGTTTTGTTTTGTTTCATTCATATGTTTAACGTCCTGCATATTTAGACTGAGATATTCCTCAAGCTGTGTTTTTTAAACTCCATACACCTTCATTAGAATCATTTGAATCATTTCAGCCCTGGAACTGACAATCTCTACTGAACTAAAGGTAAACATGTAGCTGTTAACTTGAAGGCTACCTCTACATGACATCACAAGGTGGAACAGAGCATTTTGAGATTTGGAAACTAATAAACCAGGATAACTCGAACATGCGAATGAAACAAAACACAACTCTGGTTATGTTTTTTATGAGGTATTATAACATGGTTTAATATGCACAAGAATCCATGTAGTGTAATATAGGACCTTAAATATAAAAACGAAGACATCATAATGGTAAGATGCACTGTAAATGCCCTGGTAAATCTCCCGCTGAGGTCTTGTAGAGATGGTTTGTTCTTGAGGGGGTTGGGGATGTCACACAGCACATCTCTGTTGAAACCTGACAGGCCTATTCCCCTTATGAGCACATATTCTTTACATAAATGATATCAGGCCCAGGATGTGAATAATAGCATAAGTCATCATAAAGGACTCTTCTGCAAACACCACCACTCATGTTGCTTTGTATCAGTGGGTGCAGCACAGCTCTCTTCCTCCAGCTCGTGCAGCCCTAAGGAGAGACTTTCCCCTGGTGGAGATTAGGATTAGAGTCATAAGTCTGATTGAACACCGCACCCAATTTTTCTTTTCTTCTATCTGTGTGTGGCATTTTATATTACTTCCACTGTATCCAATACAGAAGAGACAACAAGATGTACAAGTAGATTTATTCAAGATTGAGCACCTTCATGAGACGTGTCCAAAACCTGAAAATATTTACACACCTTTAACACTGGTGTTGTTTGCAAAAGAAAGATAAAAGCACAAAGAATGGATTTGTGTGAGAGTGGAGAAGGCATTATATATGTTGAGAATGTATGTATATGCAAATGAGGGGAAACAGGAGGCAGAGGATGCATCTGTGTTAAGACAGTCTTAGGTGTGTGTGTACCCAAGCCAGAGTCAGTCTGTGACAAGATTAGGAAGGGAGCAGCAAGGATTTAGGCATTCTGCCTTAAATTTCACTGGTGAGAAAGGGCAAAACCAAAGCAATAAAATGCTGCTCATTGCCAAACAGATACTGGAAACAAAAAGCAGTGATGTAATATATAATCATGAAAAATAATACTGTTAATACTGATAATTTTGCAAGTTAACCATTAATAATAATACAGTCTTACCCTTGTAATGTTTGTCAAAGACTCTAAAAGCACTAAACTGTTGTCATTATTCACTCACTCCATGCATACATTTATGGTAAGATACTATTTTAGTGCCACCACATCAGTAATGTACCACTTTCTTACAACATACAGGCAATGTGGGTCCGAGCAGGAAATGACCACTGCTCTAATCATTGAGCCTCTAGCCATTGATGTCCAGTCACTAAAATAATATGTTTC